CTTTGTTCAAAGGTGCCCTTTTCTCAAGGGTGCCCTTTGTCAAAGGCGCCCTTTTCTCAAGGGCGCCCTTTGTCAAAGGTGCCCTTTTCTCAAGGGTGCCATTTTCTCTATCTCACCCGCTCGAACTCTAGCACCGATACTCCAAAAAGGGCGCCCTTTGTCAAAGGTGCCCTTTCTCAAGGGTTGCCCTTTGTCAGCAGCTGCCCTTTTCTCAAGGGTGCCCTTGTGTCCAAATGTGCCCTTTTCTCGCCGTAACCATACAGCGCGGAAGGGTGCCCTTTGTCAAAGGTGCCCTTTTCTCAAGGGCGCCCTTTGTCAAAGCTGCCCTTTTCTCAAGGGTGCCCTTTGTCAAAGGTGCCCTTTTCTCAAGGGCGCCCTTTGTCAAAGCTGCCCTTTTCTCAAGGGTGCCCTTTGTCAAAGGTGCCCTTTTCTCAAGGGCGCCCTTTGTCAAAGCTGCCCTTTTCTCAAGGGTGCCCTTTGTCAAAGGTGCCCTTTTCTCAAGGGCGCCCTTTGTCAAAGCTGCCCTTTTCTCAAGGGTGCCCTTTGTCAAAGGTGCCCTTTTCTCAAGGGCGCCCTTTGTCAAAGCTGCCCTTTTCTCAAGGGTGCCCTTTGTCAAAGGTGCCCTTTTCTCAAGGGCGCCCTTTGTCAAATGCCCTTTTCTCAAGGGTGCCCTTTGTCAAATGCGCCCTTTTCTCAAGGGTGCCCTTTTTCAAATGTGCACTTTTCTCAAGGGTGCCCTTTGTATGGTGCCCTTTTCTCAAAGGTGCCCTTTTCTCAAGGGTGCCCTTTTCTCAAGGGTGCCCTTTGTCAAAGGTGCCCTTGTCTCAAGGGCGCCCTTTGTCAAAGGTGCCCTTTTCTCAAGGGTGCCCTTTGTCAAAGGTGTGCCCTTTTCTCAAGGGTGCCCTTTGTCAAAGGTGCGCCCTTTTCTCAAGGGTGCCCTTTTCTCAAGGGTGCCCTTTGTCAAAGGTGCCCTTTTCTCAAGGGCGCCCTTTGTCAAAGGTGCCCTTTTCTCAAGGGCGCCCTTTGTCAAAGGTGCCCTTTTCTCAAGGGTGCCCTTTGTCAAAGGTTCCCTTTTCTCAAGGGCCTTTTTCTCAAGGGTGCCCTTTGTCAAAAATTCCGTTTTCTCAAGGGCGCCCTGTGTCAAAGGTGCCCTTTTCTCAAGGGTGCCCTTTGTCAAAGGTGCCCTTTTCTCAAGGCGGCCCTTTGTCAAAGGTGCCCTTTGTCAAAGGTGCCCTTTGTCAAAGGTGCCCTTTGTCAAGCGTGTCCTTTGTCAAAGGTGCCCTTTCCTCAAAGGTGCCCCCTGTCAAAGGTGCCCTTTGTCAAGGGTGCCTTTTGTCAAAGGTGCCCCCTGTCAAAGGTGCCCTTTGTCAAGGGTGCCCTTTTCTCAAGGGTGCCCTTGTCAAAGGTGCCCTTTTCTCAAGGGTGCCCTTTTCTCGAGGGTGCCCTTTGCCAAACGTGCCGTTTCCTCAAAAGTGCCATTTGTCGAAAGTGCCTTTTGTCTGTCACGGGTGCCCTTTGTCAAGGGTGTCCTTTGTTTGTCAAGGGTGCCCTTTTCTCAAGGGTGCCCTTTGGCAAACGTAAAGCTGCCCTTTGTCAAAGGTGCCCTGTCTCAAGGGTGCCCTTTGTCAAGGGTGCCCTTTGTCAAAGGCGCCCTTTCCTGAAGGGTGCCCTTCAAGGGTGCCCTTTGTGACGGGTGCCCTTTGTCAAGGGTGCCCCTTGTCAAAGGTGCCCTTTGTCAAGGATGCCCGTTGTCAAACAAAGGTGCCCTTTCTCGAGGGTGCCCTTTGTCAAGGGCGCCGTTTGTCAACGGTGTGCTTTGTCAAAGGTGCCGTTTGTCAAGGGCGCCCTTTGCCAAGGGTGCCCTTTTCTCAAGGGTGCCCTTTGACAAAGGTGCCCTTTTCAGAAGGGTGCCCTTTGTCAAGCGTGCGCTTTGTCAAAGGTGCCCTTTGTCCAGGGTGCCCTTTGGCAAAGGAGCCCTTTGTCAAGGGTGCCCTTTGTCAAAGGTGCCCTTTTTTTCAATCTTGCCAATTGTCAAGGGTGAGGGCGCCCCTTGTCAAGGATGCCGTTTTCTCAAGGGCGCCCTTTGTCTCAAAGGTGTGCCCTTTTCTCAAGGGTGCCCTTTGTCAAAGGTGCCCTTTGTCCACGCTGCCCTTTGTCAAAGGTGCCCTTCAAGGGTGCCCTTTGTCAAAGGTGCCCTTTTCTCAAGGGTGCCCTTTGTCAAAGGTGCCCTTTTCTCAAGGGCGCCGTTTGTCAAAAGGTGCCCTTTTCTCAAGGGTGCCCTTTGTCAAAGGCGCCCTTTTCTCAAGGGCGCCCTTTGCCAAAGGTGCCCTTTTCTCAAGGGTGCCCTTTGTCAAAGGTGTGCCCTTTTCTCAAGGGTGCCCTTTGTCAAAGGTGCCCTTTTCTCAAGGGTGCCCTTTGTCAAAGGCGCCCTTTTCTCAAGGCAGTTCTTTTCATGGGCTCTTATAATAAATGTCATTCTGTTAGTCTTGTCAAGAAAAGCCTTTTCATAAGTCTTTACTGGGCTGTGTCGCTGCAGCTGCTGTAATGTGCTATTTTTTCATGGAAAGTCTTTTTCTCAGCCAAAGCTTACTAAAATCTTTCCCCCTCTTTGAATACATAAAAGTCTTCAAGGGTGCCCTTTGTCAAAGGTTCCCTTTTCTCAAGGGCGCCCTTTGTCAAAGGTGCCTTTTTCTCAAGGGTGCCCTTTGTCAAAAATTCCGTTTTCTCAAGGGCGCCCTGTGTCAAAGGTGCCCTTTTCTCAAGGGTGCCCTTTGTCAAAGGTGCCCTTTTCTCAAGGCTGCCCTTTGTCAAAGGTGCCCTTTGTCAAGCGTGTCCTTTGTCAAAGGTGCCCTTTCCTCAAAGGTGCCCCCTGTCAAAGGTGCCCTTTGTCAAGGGTGCCTTTTTTCAAAGGTGCCCTTTTCTCAAGGGTGCCCTGTGTCAAAGGTGCCCTTTTCTCAAGGGTGCCCTTTGTCAAAGGTGCCCTTTTCTCAAGGGTGCCCTTTGTCAAAGGTGCCCTTTTCTCAAGGGTGCCCTTGGTCAAAGGCGTGCCCTTTTCTCAAGGGTGCCCTTGGTCAAAGGCGTGCCCTTTTCTCAAGGGTGCCCTTTGTCAAAGGTGTGCCGTTTTCTCAAGGGTGCCCTTTGTCAAAGGTGTGCCCTTTTCTCAAGGGTGCCCTTTGTCAAAGGGGAGCCCTTTTCTTGAGGGTGCCCTTTGTCAAAGGTGTGCCCTTTTCTCAAGGGTGCCCTTTGTCAAAGGGGAGCCCTTTTCTCAAGGGTGCCCTTTGTCAAAGGTGCCCTTTTCTCGAGGGTGCCCTTTGTCAAAGGTGCCCTTTTCTCAAGTGTGCCCTTTGTCAAAGCTGTGCCCTTTTCTCAAGGGTGCCCTATGTCAAAGGGGTGCCCTTTTCTCAAGGGTGCCCTTTGTCAAAGGGGTGCCCGTTTCTCAAGGGTGCCCTTTGTCAAAGAGGTGCCCTTTTTTCAAGGGTGCCCTTTTCTCAAGGGTGCCCTTTGTCAAAGGTGCCCTTTTCTCAAGGGTGCCCTTTGTCAAAGGTGCCCTTTTCTAAAAGGTGCCCTTTTCTAAAAGGTGCCCTGTTCTCAAGGGTGCCCTTTGTCAAAGGTGCCCTTTTCTCAAGGGTGCCCTTTGGCAAAGGTGCCCTTTTCTCGAGGGTGCCCTTTGTGAAAGGTCTTTGTTTGTCAAAGGTGCCCTTTTCTCAAGGGTGCCCTTTGGCAAACGTAAAGCTGCCCTTTGTCAAATGTGCCCTTTCTCAAGGGTGCCCTTTGGCAAAAACGCCCTTTCCTCAAGGGTGCCCTTTGTCAAAAGGTGCCCTTCGTCAAGGGGGCCCTTTGTGACGGGTGCCCTTTGTCAAGGGTGCCCTTTGTCAAAAGGTGCCCTTTGTCAAGGGTGTCCTTTGTGACGGGTGCCCTTTGTCAAGGGTGCCCCTTGTCAAAGGCGCCCTTTTCTCAAGGGTGCCCGTTGTCAAACAAAGGTGCCCTTTGTCGAGGGTGCCGTTTGTCAAGCGTGCGCTTTGTCAAAGGTGCCCTTTGTCCAGGGTGCCCTTTGGCAAAGGTGCCCTTTGTCAAGGGTGCCCTTTGTCAAGGGTGCCCTTTGTCAAAGGTGCCCTTTTTTTCAAGCTTGCCAATTGTCAAGGGTGAGGGTGCCCCTTGTCAAGGATGCCGTTTTCTCAAGGGTGCCCTTTGTCCAAAGGTGCCCTTTGTCAAGGGTGCCCTTTGTCAACGGTGCCCTTTGTCAAAGGCGCCCTTTTCTCAAAGGCGCCCTTTGTCAAAGGTGCCCTTTGTCAAGGGTGCCCTTTTCTCAAGGCTGCCCTTCTGTCAAGGGTGCCCTTTGCCAAACGTGCTTTGTCAAGGGTGCCCTTTGTCAAGGGTGCCCTTTTCTGAAAGGTGCCCCCTGTCAAAGGTGCCCTTTGTCAAGGGTGCCTTTTGTCAAAGGTGCCCTTTGTCAAAGGCGCCCTGTGTCAACGGTGCCCTGTTCCCGAGGGTGCCCTGTACTCAAGGGAGCCCTTTGTCAAAGGTGCCCTTTTCTCAAGGGTGCCCTTTGTGAAAGGCACTCTTTTCTCAAAGGCGCCCTTTGTCAAAGGTGCCCTTTGTCAAGGGTGCCCTTTGTCAAAGTGCCCTTTTCTCCAGGCTGCCCTTTGTCAAGGGTGCCCTTTTCTCAAGGGTGCCCCTGGTCAAAGCTGCCCTTTGTCCAGGGTGCGCTTTGTCAAGGGTGCCCTTTTCTCAAGGGTGCCCCTTCTCAAAGGGGCCCTTTGGCAAGGGTGCCTTTTGTCAAAGGTGCCCTTTGTTAAGGGCGCCCTTTGTCAAAGGTGCCCTTTGTGAAAGGTGCCCTGTGTCAACGATGCCCTTTTCGTGCAGGGTGTCCTTTTGTCCAGGAGGTCCCTTTGTCAACGGCCCCTTTCGCCAAGGGGGCTGTTTTGTCAAGGGCGCCCTTTCGTTAAGGGGCGCTGCGGATTTTCTCGAGGTCAAACAAGTTTCGGTTGCTGCCATGCGGCAGCCATGTGCGGCAGGAACGTGCGCACCATCCACTTGAGCTCGGTGCCTGCGCGGGTGCAAGAGCATACAGCCAGAAACGCTGTTTGCTTCAAGCTCTGCACGAACCTCGTCAGTTATAATCATGGGCTGAAGCACCGCTGATGAATGCAAGCCTACCGCTGAATTTCTGCCTCGGGCCATAAGCTGCTGAAACTAGGTAGACACCGGAGCGCAGCCGACTAAACAAGCAAGCACACTCCTTCACTGGTGTTCAAAATTCCTGAGACCCCTCACCTGTGAGAGGCCCACCAGTTCAAACTCGAAGCGCTATACCAATAATCCCTTTTGGATGGTCTGCAAAGGCAATTAACCTGAAAGAAGCTTGAACAAACATATTTTGTCCAAGGCGGTTGCGCTAGCTTTTCCTCGGTCATGCTTTGCAGACTCCTAAATCCCCAATACCCTTTGCAGAATATCAACCCCTTAAATAACAAAATAAAAATAAATAAAAACGAAGAGACTTCGAAGTAGGTTGTAGAACTTCAACCCCCCAAAAAGACACAATACCCTAAAGAAGAGACTTCGAAGTAGGTTGCAGAATGTCAACCCCTAAAAAAACACAATACCCTAAAGAAGAGACTTCAAAGTAGGTTGCAGAATGTCAACCCCTAAAAAAGAACAACACCCTAAAAAAGAGGGTTCGAAGTAGTGAGCAAAATGTCAACCCCTCAAAAAGAACAACACACTAAAGAAGAGGGTTCGAAATAGGTTGCAGAATGTCAACCCCTAAAAAACACAATACCCCAAAGAAGAGGATTCAAAATAGGTTGCAGAATGTCAACCACCAAAAAAACAAACAATACCCTAACGAAGAGGGTTCGAACCTAGGCTCGTGTCCACCACGCCCCCTAAACACCCCCACGTCTCGCCGTCTCGCCGTCTCCCTCGCCTTGGGCGGCCCGCAGCAGCGCGGCCAGGCGCCCCGTCTTCGCGCGCTCCACGCCGCTGCCGCTGAGCTCCGACAGCGCCAGCAGCGCCTTGCGCACGCCCCCCGCCTGGCCGGCCGATTTTTTTTTCCGACCGAAGACTCGCTTTTTCTTGTTTTTTTACAAGTCTGGGGGCTCCTCCAAACATGGACCAAAAGTTTTGGCAAAAAGATAGGTTGATGCTGATTTTTGGACTTGGCGCGCAAAGCTTTTCGGGGCTCCAGCGTTGACCATGAGAATCGGCTAAAAGATGTGTTGATATGTGTTGATAAGCCCAAAGAGTATCCCCCCAACATTGACAAATCAGGGGCTCCTCCAAACATTGACCAGCATTGACCATCTGTTTGGTGCAATGAAGCAAGGGCTCCTCGAACATTGACCGTATTGGTCTGTCTGTTTTTGGGGGAAACCCAAAAAAATGGTGGGTTTTCCTTTGGGGTCCCTTTAACACATACCAACAAGGGACCCATATGTTTCGGCCAAAACATGTGTTGATGCTGCCCCACTGCGCCAAATCGATCCCGTAGCTGACCCCAAGAAACCATTCCCAGGTTTGATTCCGCCGTCACGAAAAAAACACGAAGAACGGAAATTGAGACAGCGGACCAAGGCATTGTTCCAACACACGGTCTTTGCCACTCGTGTACCATGAACCGCGCATCACGTGGCATCCTCGCTCACATGTTGGGTTGCATTTGAACCTTGGGGTTTCAGCCCAATGGCCAGGACCCCGATTGAAATTGCAGCTGGATTGCAACTTGGACGTAGCAAGGACGACCGACAGCCAACATGTGAGCTTGTTTCACCAAGTTGTGGCCGCATCTGGTCACCCCTGTCACACCCCTGGCATTAGATGATTTTCATCAAGCAAATGAATCAAACGGCTCTGCTCCAGTCCTGGCTGAAGGGATCAAAAAATGAGACATGCGGTTTCATATGTTCCACACCTTTCGACGCTGGCTTGTTTTTTAACTGCCAGCGATGAGCTGCCCAGCATTCAGTCTGTTGGGAATGTGCATTTGCTCAGGCATGATCAAAGCGTGCGGCTTCACAGTGAAGGGTGGCTGTGCTTTTGAAGCCTGGAACTTTTCACGTGCCCCTTTTTTGTTGGTGAATTAGCCAGGTAATAGTGCTTGGACATCGACAAGTCAAGAATGATCCAAGAAGTCATGTGAGCCAGTCCGCCTGTTCGAAAGACCTTGTACAGCGTGATTCACGGCTTCTTGCCCATTTACCTCCTGACCAGTGAGCTCGTTCTTTGTTTCACCCGTTTTTGGGGCACCGGCCCCGCGACGCGACGTTCCGACGACGCCGCGCGAGCGCGCCGTCAGCGGCGCCGGCGCTTTCAGGAGCTTCTGGCGCCCACCTCGCTCCCGCAGAGCCAGGGCCACCTGAGACAGGCGCCGAGCTGGGCCCGGCCCTACCTGCCCTGTTCCTGAAACCAAGGCGCGGTCCCGTTGTTGGGGTTGCAGTTGCTTGACGGGAAACAGGGGAAACCAAAGCGGACCGACCATTTCGCGGCTTCCCCCTCCAAACCCATTTTGAGAGAATCCCATTTGCAACATGCAAGAAACCCCAAGACCGTAACACGAGTTGCCACATGTATTTTTGGAACCAACAACTATCCCAGTGTCCAACTCTGCCTCTTTGGATTTGACCGGGCTTGCCTCACCACTGTCGTGAAGCTCGTGGTACAGACCTGGGAAACCGCGTCCGATCAATGCAACAAGAAAACAAGTCGCATAGCTTTGGCCCAGGAAAAGAATAGACTCGCAAGCGCCCCATTTCAGAGGTCCTTCGCTGTTGGGGGAAACATGTTCTTTTTCATGCGCCGGGTTGATTGAGCCGGAGCTTCCATTCACGACCACAGCTGGCCAAAAAAAGAAACGCTTGCTTGAGCCGCGGACGAGTCATGTCTGCCTGCGCCGGGTTCATTGACGCAGCATTGAGAACTGAAGATAATATCTAATATTGTGTTCATAGAGGATCAATTCAGAGCAAATCAAGTGCATGGCAGGTCACCTGACCAACCCCCAAGTATGTGTAGCATCATCGCCAGCACATTCAATGCTTTCTAAAGGCCTGTTCTCGGTACGTGCGTCTGAAACTGTCTCCAGCCTTTGATGACCCTGTTGCTTCCAGCAAGGCTGCCTGGGCATGGCAAGCCCAACTTGCAGCTCAGAATGCGTATAAGCAGAGTGGTGAATCATCTTGGTCGAATGTCTGGGGTAAGTTATCCGAGGGGAATATGCGTACATGAATGTGCCAGGATTTTGCACCTCCATAGCAGCCCTTCATAAATCAAACCGCGTTCGGGAATTCTGCGCTTCCACAGTGGGCAGGAACATAGGCTGCAACAAGCAGAATTAATTGACGTGGGCAGGCGGAATCTCGCGCTTTCTTCTAATGCCCAGCCTCTGCATCCATCACTACACCCTCCCCTGGGGCCTCTGACTTGCTGACTTGTGACCGTGCACCCAGGACCCTGGCCGATGGAGAAACAACCTCGCACTCGCTGGCCACAACCCAGGCGCCCCTGCAGTGATGGACTTGTGCGGCAGGCTCAAGGGCTTGCCCTCCGCCCAGTCTGGACGAAGCCTAGCCATGGTCAACATTTGCGGGAAATTCCGACCCTCCCGCTCATGTGTGGTTTCTGCCTCTTGAGGAGTCGCAACCCGAGTGCTTGTTAGTCCTGGGCCCAATGAGCCGACCGACCGGGCATTCTAGCAACCAAAGCTGGGCCTCCAAGCCGGCAGAATCGCCTGGAGGTTCCAATGTTGAGGGCTGCTTCTTGGGATCTGGGAAGGTTTTGACACACAAAGCTGGCCGGCTGGTATTGCTGACTTGTGGAATTGTGGTCCAGTCAAAATATGTGGTCGTCCGTAGTCAACTACCCTGCAGGGAGCTTTTACCAGACCTCCTTCAAGGACGCAGCCCAACGATGAATACTCCTAGAGCCCAGGCTCGAAGCGCCGCGCCTGTGCCCACCGGCTTGCGCATCTTTGGCGGGGGCAAAGAGATAGCAGGAGGCTTCAACCTTCCGCGAGCGGAAGGAGCTGCAGCTCCACAAATGCACTTGTGCGGGCCCGATCTTGTACGACTCCATTCATGTTGGACCTCCAGTTGTAATTGGGGCCTCTATTCTAGAACGTGTTTTCCTAATTCAGGATTCTGTGACCGTTTTGGGGTCTTCTATTTAGGAAAGTGCTTGACCAGGAACATATTCCCGGAAGAAAACCCCCGGGCAATAAACACCAGGCCAACAAAAACCGGGCAAATAAATCCGGGCAAACATTAGGAATTCGTTTTTCAAACAAGTAAGGGCAACCAGCCACGCAAAGGGGGTTGCCCATAAGAGGCCCTCCTCTGTGACTGTTTTGGGGTCTTCTTTAGTGTCCATGGTTTGTGGGAGTTGCTGAAAAACTGACCCTTCCCAGCAACATTAGAATTGGCAATACTAAATAATTCAGTACTGGGAATCTGAGAGTAAGTCTGAACAACACTTGGACGACTACACTAAGTACTGGGAATCTGAGAGCAGGTCTTGGCAATACTAAAAGTAAGTCCTGGGAATCTGAGGATACGTCTTGGCACTACTAAATATAGCCTTGGCAACACGGAAGTAAGTATTAGCAAGTCCAGGTCGCACACAGACCCCCAGGATTTTCACCAAAGAGGACTGCGGTGACTGACTGTTGAGGAGGGGAAGGATGATTGAACATTGCAAGCCAAGTGAACATGCCTAAAGAAACATTGCTTTCGGCGCGTCAACTAGCTGATTTTGAGGTTTGGCAGCAGCTAATCATGTCGTGCTGTCAGGACAACATGTCATCAACCGCAAAGCCCGACATTCACTTGCCTTTTTCCTGAGTGCTGAGCCTTGACTGAGCTTGTCACCTACACAGGGAGCTGAAGCTCCAGCCTGAGTTGGTCAGTTGATCTGGATTCAAGACAATTGTCGGTGTCTCGCTGGTTGCTGCGGAATACCGCGCAGTGATCGCAGTCCCAAGTGAGCGCCAAACCGAAAGGAGAGCTTTACATACCACAAAGTATTGCGCTACATAATTGCGAGTCAGACACAAACTCGTAAGATCGTTTCCCCTCTGCAACTAGGCTTCTAGCCAGGTGTCCAAGGATCTGCTTGGACCGCACTACTTAGCCCCAACGCACTATTTACGGTATACACGAGCAAGGGTCTATGAAACATTCAGCCGCAAGACACTGCTCAGCACAGCTTGAGGTCATTTGTTTTACTAAATCACGGCTTCGAGGACGACATCCTTGAGACTCATACCATATCCACAGAATTTTGAACGAGTGTGCGCGACACCCAGACTCCCACCCCTGCCTCCCCAGCCGGCGCCGACATTGCCAGCATCACGCGGAAGGCGTTGGTAAGGATGATTTCCTGGCTGGCAAGTACTCCAAACCGGAGTTTAACCCCTGGACTCGGGGCTCCTGAGGGCAAAACCGACGAGAGGGTCCTGGAATTAAAGGGCTACCAAGAACCATGAAAGAACCAATAAGGCAGCAGCTGCGTATGTTCGGGACTGTCACCTACTTCACCGCAGCCATTCAGGTTTGATTGTGTGTTGAGAGTGCGCATGCAAACTTCTGGAGGGCCCTCCTACGCGTGCTGGGCAATTGCAACCCTAACGGCACTCTGCAATCAGCAAGGTACAGTAGTACTTCGTTGGCTCAGCGGTCCCTTTCGTCAAAAGCAAACAGTTGCTTTCCAGAATCGATGCTTTCCTGCAAACCAACATTACAAGACGGCTCAACAACTCAAAACATCTCTTTCAACCCTGGGCTCGTGAAGCCAAAGGCCCAACAACTCATTGGTCTGCAAAAATGCCATGGGATATTTGGCTGTGGGTCAAAACCCTGTACCCCATGCTGAACATCAAAGTAGGTGGCAAATGGATGTTCACCCACCCCGAAATGGGATACCATTGGTTCTGCCCCATGGCCATTTGAAGAAACCACACCCAACGCGGGCTGCGACTTGCCGGCATCGCATCGCGTCGCTTGCCTTGCTGAGGCGGCTCCGCGTGGCTTCAAGCGCCTCGAAGGCGCCAGAAGCGACATGATCCGCTTGGCCAATCCAAGGCGGATGGTCCAATCGAGAGGACACAAACAGATATTTCCATGTACCATGTATGCAGGCTATGCTCTGTATAATATATATATATATATTATGACAAATAGATTCTATTTGTCATATGGCCCTTTGGTGGCTGGTTGCGATACTCTGGCCACAACCAATTGTTGCATTGTCCAATAAGATTGGGGTTCAGATCGGAGCTTCATATCGTGTGCGGTTTATTCATTCAGCTGTTCACTCATCCCCACACTACTGCTGCCTCAATTAAAGTTGCGATCGGGCATCTCGTGAAGAATGCAAGCGAAGCACTAATGTTGCAAATTACTTGTGACGGCTCTTCTGCCCTTCAATATTGCGCTTCGTTTGGTAAGCTGGCGCTGCTGGCGCTGCTGAGCGTACATGCCCGTGTCATTCAGGTCCGACAGTTGTGCGAACAAACTGCCGTCCACAACCAAAATCCACAAACTCCGCAAATGGGGGATTGTCAACCTGTCGGGGTTCGTTCTTGGGCCCTGCTGTCGCCTTTTAAGGGAGTCCAACAGGGGGGTCCGAAATTTTGTCCGCATGCTTACCATTTTGTCAGCCTAAATTTCTTCAGTTCCCAGTCCGCATCCAAGCTTCCCACATCGAGTGCAGCTGCCAGGTGCCGGTAGGGCACTGCTCCGGCGTTTGCCCAGCCTGGGATCGAGGTGGCCGTAGTGGCGCGGCACGGCACCTTTTTTGCAGGTAGCCAGGGGCAAAAACACAACTACACACACACACATGGCCATGGGTCAAAATCCAAATCGCGCCCCCAAGGAACATCCCAATCCGACCACTAAAATATGTCCTAAAATGGGTGGTGAATTCACCTAGCCCAAAATGAGACCACTGGGTTTGACAAACACAGCCATATGATTCTCGCATGATGACTGCATTTGGCTTTTAAGCCGTTGGGTTGTCTTGGTAAACTAAAGGCACCACACCCATTTTCGTTGGGGTTCCCCTGTTCGGAGACATGTTGTGCCTATAGGATCCGTTCCCTTTGTCCCCTTTAAGACTAGCAGGACAGCCCGAAAAAGTGTGCCCTCAAGAAGACACACCAACTGTCGGAAATGTGGTGGCTCCTGGCACTGGGTCATGCCTTCCTAAGGGCTAACAGGAATATTGAAAAAGAATGCGTCTCAGAAAGGGAATTGCTGCGCCACTCTAACTCAACCTTGAGGTCGAACCATTGCTCCGACCGGACCAAAATTGACATGGATTTCCGCTTAAAGCAACCCTGGAACGAGGTTTTCTCTCAACAACACGGCACCCTCCACTGCGTTCAGGGTGGTTCGTCCGGCAAACCCCATCGAGTCAAGCGACAGCCCTGTGGCTTGAAGCTCTCGCAGGGCGTGGCCAAGTCGTTGGCCTCTGCGCTCCATGCCGGACGTGAGCAACCAACAAAACCCTGATCCTAGGAGCTAAATATGAGGGCCTTGGACCCCCAAAGGCCTCGATATTTGAGGTCTTGGGCTCCTAGGGTGACCTAATTGAGGATTCCAATCGGCGCCTCCCCTTCCAGGGGTATAATCAATCCTTACAATCATGGAAGTGGCCGGTCGGATTTTCAACGAATCCTCTTGGAACGGCCCCGCGCCCAGTGTTGGAGAGAAGGTATTCCTTTTCAAAAGGAGACGGGAAAATTGGGCGCGTGGTGGGGCAAGATTGGGCCAATGGGCCGAAAGGCAGGCTGGTTCAAGGAGGAAGGGCCAGGCTCTCCTGCAACAACCTTTCCAGCAAGAGCACCTTCAACTGGAGTATGTCCATCTTCACGTAGGAATCACGACACTGCAAATGCCCGTGCTTATGTGGCCGTGTTCATCCTCCACTCTTTGCTGGAAATCGTTCTGGGTGCTCCTTCTCTTTGGCTAAAGGAATCAGGTGTCCGGCACGCCTCTGGGGGCGGCTCTGCTGGCGGTGGCAGTGGTGGGTCCTCACCTAGGCCAGCTGAAGCAAAAACGGAGCACTAAAAGGACTTGACAACTACACCACACCCGAAGCATGTACACTGGGGGGGACCCTTTGGTGGGCCATGATGATTCGTGCCCCCAAACCATCCTTGAAGCTGCGCGCCATCAAATTCGCCGCCACGCGAATGCCAGACAAGCTGCAAACCAAAGATCATGCCGACATCCAGGAACGCCGCGCCAACGCTGCCCGACACTGGAAACAACTCATGACCTGGGCTCCGGGCTAGGCGCTCTCGCCTTCTTGAAGAAGCTGGAGATGCCCGCCTTCGGCTCCTTCGGCTCCTTCGGCTTCGGCTCCTTCGGCTCCTTCGGCTCCTTCGGCTCCTTCTCCTGGCAGAGGCGTTGGGGCCAACTGCCTGGAGGCGGCGATGAGAAGCAGGTCCAACACACCCTGACTCGGTCCGCAGGTGCTTCAAAGCGTATGGCGCCGATGGCTTTCGCAGGCATTGATGGTGAAGCAAACGTCACACCGAACTGATCAAGCTGTGCGAACATTTCCACGCCTTGCCTGGGTTACTCAAAAGTGGCACGGGGGGGATCCTGCATCCTGATCCTTCTCCCCTGGTGAGAACAAGGGAAAACACCATCTGGCACAAACCCATTGCTTCTTTGTGGCCCCTTGGCCTGCTCCGTCTTTGGCCGCTTCCTGGCATGTCTCCATGGCGAGAGTCGTACTTAAAAGCAAGGGCAACCGCTTCCTTTGCATCAGAAACGTCTTTCACTGGCCCTGTCTGGCCTATTTGAAAGGCAGAACCCCACAAGTATTCAAAAAGAGACATGCAAGCTTAAGCATTCCTGGGGCTAGATACCACGCATGAATTCGCTCTGGTAAGGAAGTATTCCAATCTGAGCCACCAGCGCCGCTGACTGGCTTTGTTGGGTCCATCAAATAAGCTAACCTAAAACCCGGTCTTAAAATATACCAGAAGAAACTATATTGGCGGCCATACTTCTTATGGCCGTAAAATTGCCCCCTATCCTCCAAATACCCACGCTCTGGTTTTGGCTCGAGCGAGCGTCACCAGAATCAGCACGAGCACAAAACAGCCAAAAGCAAAACCGCACAGCTGAAGGCTGAAGCTTCTTCTTCTTCTTGAGTCCATTCCTTTTGGGGCAACTCCTTGCCTAGGTGTCCTGCGGAACAACAATATATCTATATGAATCCCATGGAACATGAAGAATAGAAACCAAAATCGGTGGAACCCATTTACGTTCCACGATTGATACCAAGATTTGATGCTGGGCTGAGTGGCTTTCCCTTTCGCAACCAACGACGCCTTTGCGTATTTTGTTGTGACTTTCCGCGCCTGGGCGGCTCGAGCAGGGAACTTCCACAGGTGTCGCAGCGACTTTGGCTGGCACCACCTCGGTTGCACGGCTGGGGCCGACAGCGGCCAGGGTTGCGCTTCTGGAGACATATTCTCACCGTCCCGTGGTCGTGAAGGGAAACCAAACCAACACTAAACTTCTGTAGTCCGTGTCTGACTCCTGATGAGTGATGCCTGCAACTTGCTTGCATTGCAAATCATATCTTTTTCCGCATTGGCTCAAAGAGACACGCGCTCCATGAATCTGCAAGCGCTTTGTGGGCACAAAGGCTGCAACTGATGCAGCTGTCTGCACTTCATGACCCATGAAAAACGAGCATTGCAAATTGGTCACGTGGGTGCGTTGGGAACACAAAACGAGTCTTGCAGCTAGTGGGTCGAACCAGCCGCATCGCATCGCGGCTGCAGACTGATGTGGGCCAGGGCCGTTTCAAACAATTTTCCTCAACCACGTAACTTGGGGCCGGGCAAATCACCGTACAGGCGGGGCAGCTTTGCGCAGGCTTTGTCGCAGGCTGCGGCGCAGGCTTCGCAGGCTCACCTCTCAAAGCCGAAACTTCCACAGAGGGCACTGTGGAGAACACCCCACGCACCAGTTGGTAATTAGGTGGGTTTGCGCAGTATTCACAGGGTTTTCATTCATGCCCAACTGGTACGGGAATTTTTGTCCATCCACAGTATGTGCCACAACTCGCGGCCCCTGGAAGTGACATAGAATCAAGGGAAGTTGACTTGCTATGTTCGGGGCAACAACAAATTCACGGAACCATCCAGAAACAAACTCTTTATGCTAGACACGCAGTTGGCGCAGCCTTTGGGAAACGTGGGAAACTCCTTGACCAGTCATCCCCTCGCAGAAAAGCGAACTTGGCTCTGGATGAAACTCATGGAGTGTTGACATTCCCGCACCAGAAAGCATCCTGAGCTCCATGAAGGGGCTCGCGGCCAAAAGATTCTTGTCTCAGGTGCTGGTGGGCCTAAGTGTTGAGCCTGACACAAGCACGTGTGGGAGTGAACCGGATGGTAAAACAGCATCAAATGGGTATGGGTCAACCACCAGAAAACCGCAGGTCTTAGTCCATGTTTCCATGTATCAGGGTTCCATTTTGGGTACCTATTTTTGACCTACAGCCAAATGTTCAAACGAGAATGGGCCATTGATTTATCAGCTGGGCTCCAACTATATACCTCGCGAGGCCGACGCGAAGCCTCCAGGCTGCGAATCTTCATCCAAATCGATGTAGGCCGAACTGCTCAAGCTCCTGCGAAGCCGCGCCCGGCGCCCGGCGAAATGGCTGTGGGTCAAAACCAATGCTACGATTTTGGGGCGGGTGTACCACTGATTTTAGAACCTATTTTAGTGGGGATTGGGATGTTCACTGGAGGTACGGGTTTTTGACCCATGGCCAAATGGGAAATCTGGACCGGAAAAGGGACACCTAGAAGATCTTATCACTGCCCCTCTGTTCGGGTTGGTTCCAAATGGTGGGATCACAAACCGGTGCAGGTGGTTGTCTTAGTTTTTCCTGCAAAACAACATTCAATTGCCAATAGATTCCATGATGGGTGCCTGTTCAAGAATTGATTGACGCAAATACTTCGCGCCACGGACACCTGGTGCCCGGGCGTTCATCAAATCTAGTTCATCATAGATGCTTCGGCCAGCAAAAAAAACATGGGAAAAACCAGTGTTTAGTGGCATCGCAATCATGAGTTCGCCAAGTGCTTGCGCAGTACTTTTCCGGTATTTGTTTCTTAAAAATTACCGGACAAGAAGTTGTTTTTGGCTGTCGTTGTCTTCTGCCAAACTTCAAGTTGATCGTCTGAAACCTTGAAACACATGGCCTGCGCGATGTTTTCAACACTTTCAAGTTCTGCCTTCCTTAAGTTGCAGTGGCTGAGGCGTTGAAAGTGCTTCAGTGGCTGAGGCGATGAAGAAATGCTAACATGAGCCATGAGCATATTGTCAACCGTTTGCTTATTACCCCTCCCCCCCCAAAAAACAAAACCCGACCCCCCCCCCCAAACAAAACCCGAACCCCCCCCCCCAAGAACAGAGTGAAAGTCCCGGGCACCAGGTGTCTACAGCGCGAAATAATTATTACATATTTATGTATATATAATCATATTCTGTATGCATATGTATCATATAATCATATAATACATATCTTTCAATACACGTACACGCAGTTTGCTTGGTTTTGTTGAGTTTTTTTGGGCGTGTGGCAAACCAATAGAAAACCAAGGCAACCAAACAAAACATGAAAATAACAAAACAAAACAACACACACACACACACACACACACACACACACACACACACACACACACACACACACACACACACACACACACACACACACACACACAGACACACACATACAGACACACACACACACACCCACGCACGCACGCACGCACGCACGCACGCACGCACGCACGCACGCACGCACGCACGCACGCACGCACGCACGCACCCACACACACACACACACATCACACACATCATACACACACACAAGCAGCAACACAAACAAAAACAACAAACAAAATGCAACACACAACAAAACAACCTTTAAAACCAAAAAAAACTCCCCTGAAGACAGACAGTTCATAGATTTGTTGTGTTTTTGTTTGCTTTCTCGAGGTTTGCTTTGTTTCGATATACTTCATAATCCAGGAGTGTGCAGTTCCTTCCTATTTCGCCAAATCGGAGATGTGATGTGGTGCAAAGAGTACACACATGCACACACTTAGGGGCCCCCTGTTCTAGCAAGAGACACCTGGAACCACCCCTTGAACAAGCCGCACTATGCCCTATGGCCTTAGTGAGCCGTACTAGCTGGAAAGGGGCCTTATGGCAGCTGTTTGCACGTTTCATGTGCATGTACCGGTGCCCGGGGCGGATCATCGCGTGCGTTCATGGATATTTTGCCTGTTCGGACGCAATGCGACGAGCGAGCATGAAACTTTCATGGCATGTATAGACATTATGCCTTGCGCCTTTCCTATCCAATTCAGTAGATGCTGCAAGGCAAAAGTTCAGGGCCGCCCTTGATGGGATTGGTTATGGAAATCAAGTGACACCGTGATTCTCCCGTTTAACGACAAAACTGTATGGTGCTTTCGGGCAAAAAGGTTGCACTGGTATATGCCTTCTACCAAACTCAAACTAGCGCCATTGATCTTCAGCTAAACTGACCCATGCAGGACATATGGCCATGGGTCAAAATCCAGTACCCCCCAGTGAACATCCCAATCCCCACTAAAATTGACTAAAATGGGTGGTGCACCTACCCCAAAATGGTACCATTGGTTTTGACCCACAGCCATATATGCTGCGGTGAACCCTTTCTATATGAGGCTGAGACTCGCCTTGCGAAGGGTTTGGCGAGCTCACCCCCGCAAAGGCTGCAGCGCTCTGCTGCAGAATCGTCGCAAAGGAGCGTGCCTCGCTTGCACAGATACGTTTTGGACCTGGGCGGAATCTTGCTGGTGCTCAGCTTTAAGGGAATCCCTGGGTTCATTCCCACATTCCCTACTGAGCACCGGCAAGGAATTTGGACAGCACTTTCTTCAAAAGAGGACCCAATGGCAAAAAACAATCTGAAATGTTTGGAGGGGTTAGTTTCCTTAGTTGGAGGCCACAGCAATTCAGTCACGAGCTAGACTCAATCTGAGACATCCAAGGCCGTGGCATTGCAAACATGCGCGGGCCATTACAGGTGGCAGCTTTTTTTATGGCAACTGCTGGCTTCTGAGCCAGTCTGAGTATACAGCTCGAGTTTGGTCTGGTTGCGTTGGCAAAGCTCAAAGCGCTTACATTGTCATGTTTCCAGACTCCTTGCCGATCCTAGTCGCCTTTGCACTTTTGGTCTCTTGAGGTGCGAGCGCAAACGCGCAATGGCCACTGATGCTGGCATGAAGAAGCGGTCCTGAACATGATTGAATTGTTCTGTCATGAGGTCAGCGAAACTAATGACCAGAGCCTGCCGGACCCATCTTCTTTCCGGTGGGCTAACATGCTATCCTGACAGCACATGCGTTGTGTGCATGCGAAATCAGATGAGCATCCTCCTTTGCCTCCTCTTTTGCATCTGATCACTGAGGAGGCAGCAAAGGAAACATGCAACTATTGGGAAGCCTGGATACTTTGTGAAGCCCCGATCTTGTTGACCCTCACGCAGGGACCCGATTCCTTGAAACGCAGCATCGTGCTGAGTGTAGATCGTTTGCCTCATGTCGCCCCTGGTCGCCCCGGTTGATTGTCCAACTGGTCGCACCTCTCCGCTGCCGCAGGCCTACCAGAGTGCTCCCCAAAGTGTCCATAAGAGTCTGTCGTGTTTGAGAGCAGCCACTTTGGGGCTCGGTTTAGAAGAGATTCCACAGGAACACCGTCCACTTTGAGGTGGGTGTTTCTCAAAATAGGAATCGCCCAACCCCCCCCCCCCCCACAAAAAAAAGTAGTTTTCTGGTTGGTTCCCTCTAAGCACAGACGGGGTCCACCATTCTGAGAACCCCCCAGATGTCTGTCCAAGAATGGATCCTTTTGGCTGGGTAAATACAGGGAACCCCAAAAGGAAATTGCCCGTTTGTTTGTGGCCGTCTATTTGTAGACACACTCACGTGACTCCTGTACACATAATATGTACGCAGTCAGCAAAGGATTCAGCCCATTTCAGTTGCACCACAACATCCTCCCAGGCATAGCCAAGCAGGGATGCTTTACTTGCAGTGCGGCACTGTCGTGCACCCGCGCTTTAGCATCTTGAGGAGCTTCTGAGAAAAGTGTGATACTAACCACGGTGCGCCTCTGCGTAATTGGCCTCTTTTGTACCTTTGCCTAAGTCATTAATTCGCCGTAATTTGGGACCTGTTCGCCATGCGACCGCTCGCCTTGCCTGCAGTGTGACCATGATGAGATTGCGTGATCATACCGCGCAGTTTGTGAATGCATGTCTTTGCCTAGTGTACCTCTCACCTGTCACACTTGAAGGAATCGTGTGTAGCCCTTTTGGCAAATGTGACTACATGCCTTGCTTGAAGTGTGGAACTGCCGTGCTCCTGGACTTACCCATGTACCCTTGCCTAAGTCATAACTTCAGAGTATTTTGGGCAATTATTTTTATTCGCCAAGCGACCGCTTGCCTTACCTGCGGTTTGACCATGACGAGACTGAGTGAACATGCCGCGCATTGGAGTCTCGTGATAATGTGTACGTTGCACCTGTGACACTTGAGGAAAATTGTGCAGGTTTCGCCAAGTGAATGCATGCCTTGCTTGAAGTGTGGTACTGCCGAGCACCTGTGCTTTTGTCTCTTGAGCTTATGTGCAAAGTGTGCTTGCCTTTCAGGTCATCTACTTTTCAGGTTTGACCGCCTTGATGGGCCTGGGCTTTGCGCTCATGGTCTCACAAAGACTACTAGCATAGCCAAGCAGCAAACTGCTTACATGAAAGCTCCCCAAGACTCCGCGTTTACATACCCACCACAAGGTACAGACTGAAACGCTCGAACAGCACATGAGCCACAGTGCCAAGTCATAAGATTGGCCCGTACAACAGTTGAATGTGGCACAGTGACCCTGGCAGACAAGGCATCGGGACGATGGGTGACGATTTTCAGTGAAAAATGCGGCAAAGACAGACAGGGAACACGGAACCACTGGGGCGCATCTCGCCTTCCTTCACTCGCGCCTCCAGCTCTCGACACCCAAAGAAGCGGCTCTGCATGGGGCGCACAAAGAGTTGGATGGAGAGATGTCTCTCATCAGGGCTTTGTATGCTCGGTTGCTTTCTGCTCCCCTGCTAAAAGTTTAACTTTTAGTGATTTAATCGAAAACCATGCAAAATGCACCAAAGTATGGGTGTGGTTGGTGTGCAGGACACTCCATATCAAGTGAGGGCTCCTGCTCTCCATGTATTTGGGGCAGGTGGTAGGGAAGTTCCTCGAAGGTGTGACAGCTGTGATTCAGATCACTACAGTAGAGCCCAGCATTACTTGTGTTTCTCCCTCTCTCTCTCTCTCGCTTTCTCTTTCTCTCTTGCTCCCTCATAACCAAGGCCAACAAAAACATGTTTTTTGTCCCGTCCCCACCACCAGTGCCCAGGCAGTCCGAAGGAACCGGTATTGACCTCAAAAATAAAGCACAATAGCTTCCATGCTAATTTGCCACCGCACTACTCCACTTGCCACCAACCCACACCGACGCCCAACTTCCAAGAACCTTTTGCGCCAGCCTTATCCCAGCATGCATTTGGTAAACCAGCCAAACCTCGAAAAACAGCAAGGAGTCGATGGCATCACTTTATGCTGCCAAAACACGAAACACTTCAAAACAAATTACATTCCTCCCGTTGCATAGAATTCCAGTCTGGCTAGCAGTGACTAATGCTTTCAGGCAAGCCATCTAAGAGATAGCTCAGAGGCGACTGAGCTTCTATGCCCGCGCCTAGGCGGGAACATAACGCCAGGCCGAGTTGCTGTGAGCTTCCACAATGACGCTTGTTGAGTGCGAAGGTACACATTTAGTCTGGAGCGCACCTTGGCGGGCCCGTTTTATTGACATACTCAGACATGTTGCCTCTGTTGAGGCTCATTTCTCTCAACCGTCATCTACAACCCACTCATCTCTGCGCCTGGAGAATACTAGCTCACGTTGCTCCACATCCCACTCGCATCCCTTCAACAAGCTGTCCCTGCCACGCTACATGAGTCGATGCGATGGAAACTGGGAGCAGTGCGCTGGAAGAGAGCCCCATAAGGACGAAATTTCATGCATCAGTCTTTCAAGCAGGAAGCATCCTGCCGCTAGACTGCACTTATACTGCATCTCTGCGACGGGACCCACGTGGGTTTGTCTCCAGATGGGGGGAACCTCAAAACCAGGTGGCTTCTCTTCGGCGGTTTGCCACAAAAAAAGCCGCCCGAAAAGGACTTTGCCCCCCAAAAAAGGACACACCCACGTCAGAAGCTGCGTAGAACCTCCAATTCGTCTCACGTCTATTCTCTCTCAGTGCTCAGTAGCCTTGCAGCTGCGTATCCGATGAAGCTGCGTATCCGATGAAAATTGCTTGGCCCATTGGCTTCGGAAAGAGCTTGAGCACTACCGCAATAAACATGGAAGCACAAATCACGATTCTGACAGTCGAAAGGGAGCCTGTGCATCGAAACATGTGCTGCACGCAAGTGTGCTGCAAGAAAACAAGTGCCGAACTGCGCTCATACAGAAAGCAACCACATATCACTCAAAAGAGCTATGCCGGGCTGCAAACAACTGGACACGCGGGACTGCCCTACATGTTCCAAGTAGCTGACGGCACAGCACTCGTTCAGCAAGGGGGGGGAACACCACATTGCACACTGCCACATCAAGGTCAGGCAGGCCAACTGACATCAAGAGGTCACAGCCAGGATAGGGCCAAATTAAATTCGCTTTGTATGAGGATTGCCAAACCATCATGATGGTTTAAACATGCTTCCCTGGGTTCGGTTTGGAGCACCCCGCCAGTTGCTCACTGACCCTGGTAGAAAAAGAGAACCCGGTTTGGGGCAAACCCCCTTCAGCGGGGAACCCACCAAACAAAAGGGATGCAGTGATCACTGAAATTCCTGTCTCCCATGCCCAAAATTGGCTCATACCGTGGCTTATAGCTGGACCCTTTTGGTGGATGTCAGATATACATGGAGATTTGAGTCGTCTCCTTATCCCTTTCCAACCATTGGGGATCTTCCAACCAGTCAAATAATTACAACTGGAAAGAAGTATTCCCCAAGTAAGGCACCTTTGGTTTTCGCTCGATTCCCCCCGCATCGAAGAGCTCGAGCACCAATCTGGGGCGCCAAGCCGCCGGACCTCGCAACAAGCTCCGCTTTCATAGGAAGTGTCGAAGGGGGATGCGAAAGTCATGTTCACACGTTACGCCAATGATCATGACGTGATTTCGTGTCACCCCGCAAGCCCATGCTAATTGGTTGGGCCCTTATAGTACCTGGAAGACCAATTTCCTCAAAGGACCTCCTGTCCAGTTCCATAGTGGGAGAAACTGCACTAGTGGGGCACCCCCAAAACAGTCACTCAAGCTGGCGTCAAATGTTGCAGTTGTGTTCCTTTCCCCCCCCCCCAGCGTTCCGTATCCCATACATGAAACAACCCCCGATCCGCTGAAAACCGCTGGCCGCTAGGCGCGCGGCCAGCCAGCAGCTCTGAAGCCCTGCAGAACGAAGAAGGGCGCCGAAGCCCCACTGTTTTGGGGCGTCAATTCCCTACTGTGGATGGTTTAGGTGGTGCAGGATTTTGTCCATCCACAGTTTTTTGACGCATACCCGTAAGTCTGGTGCAATTTGGTGCATGGAGCGCCAGCAGGGCCGAACAAAGTCAACTATGAATCTGCAGTCACCTCTGGTGGACATCAGAAGCTTCTGGGAGGTATGTCTTTTCCCAGCAATGGTGGCAGATCCCCATATCAAAGCCACATCACTGCAGTATTGGCCTTCGCATCATTGGCGTACAGCTGGGATGCCGGAATGCACGAGTTTAAAAGCAAAATGCGACCGTTTCCAGTTTACACTTTTAGGTTGCCACAACAAAAGCCTACCCCACAAAATAGGCACATGATTGCGAACAAACATAACGTCAGAACAAATGTGCGTGTGTACCCAACTGTGGTGCTTGTAGAACAAACACTAACTCGGCAAACCACAGTAGGATGTCAAATGTGGGTGTCTTTGTTGACGCTACCCTGTTTCC